CAATAAGAGCGCAGATCAGTGACCAGTTCTATTCAAAGAGAACCCGTTAGCATCTACCATTGAAACTTTTGGCCAATTGCAAAAGGGGTATGCAAGCTCACCTGGAGTCGGCAGACAAGAGCATAGTCAACCTTGTCCGAGAAGACTTGCGATCTTTTATTGTCAACGCATGCCCATCCCCACATGTCCTTGTTGTTGCTGTTATTGCGGGTAAACTGTAGGATACCGGCGGCTGCTGCCCACAGGATTGACGAAGCAATGAACCAGCCAACTGCAAACAGCGTATAGTAAACGCCGACTTTCTCAGCTCGGTGATGGCCTCCCCTGAGATACCCAATAAAGATGAGAATACAGAGTAGGAGATTGACGCCGGAAACCGAAAGGACGACAATCTGGGGCCAGAGCTTCGTATTTGCTGCCCACGGCGGCAGGCCACTTTGTGGCGCGAGAGTTTTCGTTGTACGGAAGATGTTGAATGAGACAGCAAGCAGGGAGATAATGATCAAGCTGCAACTGAAGCTGATACCACGGAGGGCAAACTTGGCCAATCTGACCCTGTACTTGAGACCCTACGAGATCGTTAGTGAGACGGCGCAGCTCTCTCTTACTTAGTGACACTTACCACATCCTTTCTTTGTGCCGCTTCGGTATCCTTTTCCCTGCTTTCCAGAATATCCTCTTCTCTGAATGTTGGGCTTAGAGGGTTTTCCAATCTCCTTGCCGGTGTGCCTGGCACTCTCATGGCACTCTTCAGGGGAGACTTCGGTGTCATAGGCATGTTGACTGTCTGTGTCCGTGTGTCATCATTGATGTAGCCAAAGCCTACGTCAGCTGGCTGAGCTTGTATAATTTGCGAATGTGTTCTCTCATCCCGGCCGCCAAATGGGTTTGTTTGTGGCTCGATGGGAGAATGTACTGTGGTAGCCTCGGCGAATCTGGGCGTCCTTGGTGGTTTTAATGAAGATGTGGTAGTATACGATCCATCTGTTGACGATGATCGTGATGGTGTCAAATTGAGGGCGGCAGGTCGCCTCCTATCATCTTGGGGCGCCATTGCGGTATTGTGTGTGATATAGCAAAGGAAAGGAAACAATCGCTCGTCCGTGCGAGTCGGCTACGTATGTTATAACAAGTGCTTCACGAACCAGGTCTATAGATATGTGGCCCGGTGTAGAAATGAAGCAATTTGATAGAGAAAAAGAGTTTAGAGACCAGCTATCGAAGAAAGGGAATGTCCAGGTTGGGCACCAGAGGAAGGTATAGGTTTTGAATAAGCGCCCTCGCGTGTTCTACAAGCCGATTCGGTCTTCTCTAAGGCTTCTGCATAGACGGTCAGTGGGGATAGCACGCACGCAGCATGCAATGGGATCGCTCACGGTGGGCCAGGGTTCTTGTCGTCTGTCCGAGGGAATGCCTCTGATAGGGCGCTTCGAGAGAACTCCAATCTCGACTGGGCAAGTCAAGTGTGGATAGACGCCGTAGGTAACGGGATGGCGCCGCACAATGGTTTGATTGTATCGAAACTCTTAGATTAGCGTATCAACTCGGACTTCATAGCCTGCTGGAACAAGTTTGCAGAGTTTCTGAGACACAAGTGACAGATACGGGTGGATTGAACAAGCATAGCAGAGACAGAAAGACCTCGGTGGCAGAGAGTGAGTGAGAAAAAGCTGCAGACATTCGTGGTGAGGGGGAGCGCCGACAGCACTATTCAAAAAGGCATGGTCACCCAACAACGACTCTTGGGTCCAGCCGAGTACTCAGCCATAGTTACTCGACAGGACAAGTCGAGGTGGGACACGCTCGAATACACCAACAGGCACTATCAACCGGAAGTACGGAATACTTTCAGACAGATGGCCATATTGAATTTGGCGTTACCGCCCCCATCACTACAGCCAACAGTCTAGCCAGTTGGAATGGTGAATTTCCTGATGAGGTTGCGGACAACGACTGACAATGCGCTCGAATGGCTTGAAAAGAGCAGGGGACGCAGCAGGGGTCTTTCTCGGCATCGTGGGAAAGTGGGAGAAAATGGCTGTGGTTGGGTGCATACTTTGCAAGGGAGGGGCCGGCGCCAAGCTGGCAGAGCGCTTCGCAAGGGTATGAATGGACCTTGTCGACGATCTGCGCATCTCATAGGCCAAGATGTCTCTCGTGCTGCATGCAACAGCTTGAGCCATGGCCAATCATAATGCTCCAAGACGTGATGCCATCAACCACTTGCATCGGTAACTTGTACCTGGGCGGTAAGGGAGCTCAGCGAGGACTAGCGAATGGCAAGTTCCAGCCTCTCTCAATCTCCTCCTCTTCTTCTTCCGGTCCTTTACATCCACGTCCCGCAGAGATACCCAATGAATTGATTGACTGACCATTGGGGCTTTTTGCTGTAGAGGCTAATCAGACAAGAAGCTATTGCCACAACAAGAACTATCAGTTATCAACGGGTCATAGAAAAAAGGGATAAAAATCACTATAATTTCTTACCATACCAAGCCTTCGTTTAAAGGAGAATACAATACGGAAGGAACCGTTGACAGATATGTAGGACATGTCCAAAGCAGCCCGACCCGTCAAGTCAGGTCGCTATGGTGGTCATCGCCGTCAGCTGCATACCTACAGTAGTATATCAACTCTGCATATCATCCCTGCCACCATTATCACTGTCTCATCTTGGCAAATCAGTGCGCCGCCCTAGAATCTGTGTGCGCACGACCAAGCCGTTGAATATCGGGGCACACCACATTCCATCATGATATTTTTAGCTTGCATCGAGCACGGCCACCAATAAGGTGATGCCACCATCGGTCGTCAGGATGTGATATCACATAACACCACCTGTTGCCCAGGCGCTCTGAGTGATTTTCGGGGTCTTTGGCTCGATCAGTCCAGACTCTCACTCTAGATATGTAGCGTGCTGCTCTTAAGCCGCGTCGTCATTACCACCAGGCTGGAAATATATTTAGCCTCGTGCAGAAGCATACGGTAGTCACCCACGACTCTTGCAAGGCTAGTCTCAACGATCTCACGATATCGATAGTGGAGGGTATAGAGAATTACTTGATAACCTCCAGGATACAATCAGCTGTCTGTGCTGACTGCATCGAGGAGCTGGCTGTCTTCCTTCATTTAGATACAATATTTCAGCACCTCCAGTCTTCTACCAGACGCACGAAAGCCTTTGATGTATGGCTATTGGTAACACAGGGTAGGCCCGGCGATATTGTAGTTGCCCGCTTTCATCTTGAAATTTCCTAGATACTACGTCTCCACAGCCAACTAGCATCCTTCGTCAATGAGCAAGATGGTGAGCTGCTAACAGGTTCAAGGCCGTAGGCACAAATTAGATGAGAGGCGCTTGTATAATTGCGTGTCTTACAGCGATCTCCAGATCCCCGCACTAACTAGTGTGTTATGTCACGATACCAGAGTATCACAAGGTACACTTCGTCCTATGTGGGATAATTATGCTCGGATGCTGGAAGGTCTGCTTCACTATCGTAGCTTTTGAAATTTGCCCGGTTACGATTTACTTGTGGGCCTGGTCAGATACGTATATCCTACATGGTGCAGAATTGTCTCCAGCTCGAAGCATACTATTCAGCAAGCGAAATCTAATTCCCCTCATCATCATTATCTTGTCCATATGTCCTATCAGAAACTTAACCATGGCTAATAATACCGAAAAAAGCTATTAGTGCTATGTGGTATGTCACATAGATAGATTTCGAAGGGAAAGACGTCATTTACTTCTGCTTATCTCGCATGTGCCCGAACGAACCAGTTAACAAACACCCAAGTTCTATATATACTATTCTTCTAACTTACAAGAGTTATAGTCAGCTTTCAGCTTAGAGTCTCCGAATATCCCCTTCGTGCGGCGCCAAGAGTGGCAAACCCCTTCTTCGCGGTTCTCCCTTCAAAAAGCTTTCGGCAAGGCTTAGCTACTGGCCTATAGAGAGTGGGCACACCTTAAAGGTTAGCGCCTCTTTCTCCAGCTATTCGCATAAGCAGCGGGGAAAGTCGAATATGGATCAGCAGCAGGAATATATCCTATAACTTATTGCTTTTAAGTCTATAAAGGACTATGCGTACAACATAGTATGTCGTATGCTAGGTATTGCGCAGGATCTAACATAAGAGCTTCTTGACGCGTAGGCGTGGGATCACGTTACCAAGTTACAGATTCCGTATAGAGCGTTTATGGTATCTCGAGAAGCAATGCTTACTTTTATTAAAGCAAGTATACCATTCACCTAGCGTTGGGTTACGTATATACTTCACTATGAAAACAACTACTCTACCAAACGTCGGCCTGCTTTCGAAGTAATCTCCTTTTATCACAGGTAAATAGGTTTAACTATAAAGGTGACATGACTGTTATAGTATGAATCTGAGATTCGGGTAATGGGTTGCAGACATCTAAATTCATGTGCATGTAGTACTATCTGCTTAATTTTAAAGAAACTAGGCTGCCTGCAACACGATATAGGAAAGCAATAAACAGTACGATAACGACTAGTTGTTCTATGAGCTACCACCATGCAGAGCACTTAGTTGACTACAGATTTATCTTATTATCCCTGGAGAACTTTCTTCGGGTATTTGCATTATGACTTACTGTAGTTGTAGCAAGGCTGGACCCTCTCCTAATATATTTTACATATGAGTCAAGCACCCCTTTTCCATCTCAGAACCTTTCAGCTCTCAGGAAATCTTACTGCAACCGAAAACACAAACTGTAATTAGCAAGCCAAACACTCAATCTCTGTTCACCTTTCAAATGGCATTGTAGCTGACAGCTTCGGCTTCCATAAAATAACTAGCTTTAAAAAGCTGGTAACTTTAGCAGAGGACTAACCTAGCTGTTTAGCTAAAGAAATAGCTAGATCTTTTAAGATACGTCTTAGCCACAGCCAGTTCGTCATTGTATTACTATATATAAACCTTAAATTCTAGTCTAGGTACCGAAAAAAGAGAAGCTAAAAAATAGTTTTTTGTGCGAGCTACGCGATTCGAACACGTGAGACTTTCGTCAGTAGAGCTTAAGTCTACCGCCTTAACCAACTCGGCCAAACTCGCAATGACACAAACTTGAATCTCCTTAGACCCAAAGCAGTCTGAAGGGGCGGGCTCCTCGGGGAATCGAACCCCGGACCTCTCGCAAATTGGTTTTAAACCCAAAGCGAGAATCATACCTCTAGACCAAGAAGCCGCTTAGCTAATACAAAGCTGCTGGATGAATGTCTGCGCTCGTACATTGTGCGATGTAGCTACGCGAAGAAGGTGACAAGATCAACTTTTGGGCGTGAGTGTAAATATATCAAGAACGGTCATGGTGATGGCTTTTTTTGCAAACGATGGCTTTTTTATACTAGAATATTACTGGCCTACAGGTTTCAGAGAAGCATAAGGAGCGCATATGGCAGGTTTGCGTAACATGGAGTCACCCAAGCAAGAGTATCCAGGTGTGGGAATAGAAGACCTTGGAGAGATTGGGGGTTCTATTAAAGCAAGGGAATCACGGGCTAGATATCTCGATGATCTATGAAGAACAGTCAATTCCATCTGCTCGGTTTGTTAGGCGACAAACGAGATCGCCAAGGCAAAAATACTGATCTAACTGCTGCTTATGTTTGAGTTCTCGCCAGCATGTCTCGGAGTCTTCTATATGGATCCCCTGGAACTTATTTACACCGTTATAGTGTCTTCACAGCGAAAAGGCCTTAGGACAGTGGCGACTAAGCTGCAGGAGTTACAATTCAAGAAAACATTAGAAGTTATGAGATACCACAACCCAGTTCGACCCCAACGTCGTCTTTTAGAACATGCTGAATGACGGGGGTTTCGTTTATCAAGGTATACCTAGTCGTGATTTAGTGGTGTAGGTGTTGTTGTCAACGCATGGTAGCAGGCGATATCCTTGGACACGGCTTGGGCTGAGGTCTTATGGCTTTTCTACTAGAATATCGGGTTGTTCCGTTTTAGGAGACAATATATTCTCGTTGATGTAAAGGGGAAAAGGAGACCACTTGTCTTTCCACGAGACTAATCCAATAGCAACCCTACAGCAAGGTTCAACTGCAAGCTCTGCGTCTGAGATGCAAGTAATGGTGGGGAGCTAGATTGGACTAGCTGTTTGTACCACTTTTTGCGGCTCTTGTTTGGTGTCGGAAATACCTAGATACTTTTACACATGATAGTAGCAGGTTGGGCTGATACATGTATGATTATGCACTGGTTGAAGAGATCTATTGATACTATCTGCTTTCTGTGGTGATAGCCTCCTCGCACTTCAGCCTTCTTTCATAGACACTGCTAGTTTCCTTATTTGTAGTAGTGCAACTATACGGACTTGATGCATCTGCGGCCTTACAATCGAATTCGCCAACGTTTGGGCCAACCTGCACCCACCAAACCGAATCCTAAGGAGGGATCTATCATATTGTCATCTTCGAAGACATTATTTCGTTATGAGCATGGCGATCATAAGGCAGGGTAGTGGCCTCAGCAGTGCGAGATCCTAAAGGCCTCGGAGCTAGAATTTGACCGACTTTAGACAACCACGACATCTAAGTATACATATTATATGGAAGACGAGGACGAAGACGAAGACGAAGACGAAGACGTAGGGCAGGTTCGGGCTGCTAGCCCGGCAAGGTCGTGAGATGAAGATTTGAGTATATTTGGGATCTTCCGTATTAGGGGTATTAAGTTATCATTAAATTAAGAACTTCTCGGGTATCCTTCGTCATTTTCTCGTCTTCCGCGCGTGCTTCACGAGGTTTTCTATGACACCCTCAAATGCCTCCCTGTCACCGATCTTCGCGTCTGTACGTTTCTTCCAAAACTCGTGCACCTCGTTTGCTAAGACTTCCATATCTTTTAGTTTCCTCACGTGCTGCTGAAGTTCAATATCGGTCATCCCTCTCAGCGCCTCATCTGTAGTGGCACATAACTGCTTCGCCGTGACTAAATCAAAGTCTGGAGTCTGAGGAGAGGCTTTCCGTCCTTTGGAGCTAGACCTAGGCTTCTCCTTTCCCTGGGAATCGACTGAGATAGATGATCCATTGACATCTGATTTCCGTAGTCGAGAAACAGAACGCGAGTCTGTGGACGTGCGAAGTGAGCCGTTTGACGTGATCCGGTGAAGAGATGGGAGTATTAGTTTTTTCTGCTTTGATGCAGGCAGAATCTCGTCTAGATCCACAGGTACTCCAAGGGATACTAGGAAAAGCCTCCTGATGCGGGAACGGATCCAATCAGGTGGTTGAAGGGGTGGTGGCGCAGCTAATTGCGACCATAATGATGCGCTCCTTGGGTTGAAGAATATAGGATTGTCGTTTGGAGGTGAGGGCAGAGGGGGGGCAGTGAGTACGTCAGGCGGGTATAATGCATCCAAGTAAGGCTCAGAGGCGGCCAAAATGTCTTCAGAGTCAAGCCCGTCAAGATCTAATATTGGCTTTGAGCAAATAGAAGTCAGCATAGCTGTGATAAGACTACCTAAGGAGGGCACTACACATACAAAGGAAGGTATGGAGACTTGTTGCTGACTTGTTAGCGACTGAGCGGTTGTAGGTGCTTCAGCCTGCTGAAAGCCATCATCAAAATCGCCGAAATCCGCATCTTCGTCGCCCTCTTCGAACTCGTCAAAGTCGTCACCAAAATGGTCATCATTGTCATTCGTCTCCTCGTCGCGAAGACTCCTCATTGATCTAGCCACTGAAGACTCCCTCCGCCCATGTGTTGACGGGGACTTCAATGCTTGATTCACAGCCGTGTCATCTACGAAGGCACGGTCAATCGCAGTGTGGGTTTTAAGAGGACTTGGTTGCCGTACCGGTGTCTTGTGTGTTTACGTCTAGCGAAGTAGGAATAGGATTTGCCTCGGCAGTGCCATCAGGCTTCCGGACCATGTCTGGTGTGGCATCTGCTTGATGGGATTGTTCATTATAATGGTGAGTCGAAGATCCAGGGACGTCGTCTGTCACGTCAACTACCGTCTTAGGAATGGTAGTGCTTGCAGGGGTAACAGCTTGGCCGGTGGACGTAGGTGGAGATTGTTCGTCTTGAACAATAGCAATCTCATCTGGCGAGGCATCCTTTGTCCTCTTATCATAGGCCTCAGTACCAGGGACTTCGCCGTAAGAGGGCTCGTCGTCTACTTTTTCGACTCGGGTTCTAGGGATGGGAGAAACTGCCCCGGTTCCAGGAGCAGACTGTGCATCGGAAAAGTGGTCATCTGAATCTGAAGATTCTGTGACAACCTATGTCAGACTGTGAGGGGAAATGTCGGAGAAGGGAGATGTGCTTACCCAACTCGTGTGCACCAGGATCCTCAGTCCCCGTCCTCTCGGGAGCCTCCAGACTGGAAGAAGGTCTGCGCTCTCCAGACATGTCAGGAGGCGTAGCGGCTAGATACGAAACCGAGATTGAATGTTTGTGATGAAGAATCGATGTGTGCTCGAGATATATAAAGAGCGTTGGGGGTTCGAATGCTCTAGGGTGGTAGCACAAGGTAGATAGATGAATGTTTGAGGGGTAGACCCAGCTGCCCGGCTGGATGTTGAAGCAACCTGGAACCAATGTATTGAAAGGCAGATTGAAAGAGATGGGACGGACAACCACTTGAGTTTAAGGTTAAGTTAGTTTATGAAGAGAGCTGTAACTATGGGCCCTTAATTGTTCTGCTCCCTTGAGGTTAATGCTGAAGATCGGGATTGTAGTAAGAGGATCGGAGACATTTGAACCTCCTTGTTGAAGCTAGAGTAGTACGGAGTACAGGTGTACAGTATGGTTCATGGATCGACTACCACAGACCAGTCTAGGCCTCCTAGGTTGATTACCTAGAACGACCTACAACGGTAAAGCTTGAAGCACAAGCCACAGTATCAACAACGTGGCTGAAATACGTGGCTCAAGCTCAGTCAGATGTAGCAGCCCCGGGCCCTGGAGCTGGAGGTGCCCTGGTGTGGGCATTGAATCAGTTGCCAGCCACCTGCTTCAGGTACAGCTGCCTGCCACTGACTGTAGCGGCGCGTACCTACCCGTGGGACCTACCGTACTGTTGAGCTTGTCGCGCAAAAAGTTGGCCGTGTATAGGTATTTTCTACATCGGCAAGGAGACGGAGTGTCTTGGGCGAACAAAGAATTATTTACATTTCTCTTCTCTCTGTTTCGACGAACTTATAAACAACGATTACCGCTGCAGACTTCTGTTTGTATGCGTACCTCACTACCTTCGTTTACGCAGGAAGGCAATTTCAATCCTCGGCAACCCAATCCCACCCAGGTGATTCTCTTCCATATTGGTACCAAGCTGGGGATGAGTTCACGTCTCTAAAGGGTCACATTCCACCTCTCACACGCAAACGCTCTCCGCGTCCCAGCCAACCACATTCCTGCCGAACAGACAGGATCACACAATGTCCTTCACCTTCGGCGCCTCGAGCTCCTCAGCTCAATCTAACAACAATGCAACCACCTCTAGTGCGCCAGCCAGCGGTGGACTGTTTGGCTCGTCGACAACACCCACGACATCATCTGGGGGTCTTTTCGGTAGTAATACCCCTACGCTCTCGTTCGGAAGTGTAGGCGGTGGAGGCAACAGTGCGACGACTGCTTCCTCAGGCACCTCAGGTGGTGGCTTGTTTGGAAACGCAGGTGCAAAACCCGGCGAACAGAAATCATTATTCGGAGCTACGAGCGGCGGTACACCTGGTTCGTCCACACCAAGCCTGGGCGGAGGTGCTGGTGGTGGCATTTTTGGAGCCTCATCGCAGACACCCTCGAGCACCAATCTGTTTGGTAGTAAACCAGCAGCAACAGCAACAGGTAGCGGTCTATTTGGCAACGCGTCTTCAACTCCGAATACCGCCACGGCGAGCACGACCCCGACCACGACAGGCGCTTTTCCTTCCGGCGGACTCTTTGGCCCGCAGGATAATAAGACATCCACACCGGCTTCTACTAATAAGCCGAGTGGGATCTTTGGAGCAGGCAGCGCTACTACTGGTAGTTCTCTCTTTGGCGGTGCGGGTTCCAACAGTACTCCGGCTACACAAGCGACACCTGCAAAGCCTATGTTACCTCTAAATTCGACAACACCGGCTGGTGCTCCTCCGTCGGACGCTTCTAAACCGGCTGGTGGGCTAAGTCTCTTTGTCAATTCTGGTGCTCAGAGCGGTTCGTCCCTGTTCGCGTCTGCCCACCAGG